GGAAGACAAAAGATGGTAAAGATTCCATCATATTGTATACTCACTGGGCAGTGCTCCCCGTTTTGAATCTCGACTTCAAGAAACTCGGCTGCAAGGTGTTTCAGAGACTTTCTTGTCTTTCCCCTGCTCGGGGAAAAAAAATTCTGGGTTGATTAGAACTTGGTTAAAGTTTGAACCTGTAGAAGAACCAAACTCATAAGCAGGGCTAAAATAGTAGTACTTGAGAAAGGGCTGATAATCCGAAGTGTCCCGTATGTCCTTTTTAGGGTGAGTCAGAAGCAGAACCTGTTACAAAGTCTAATCGTGTGAAAGTTGAAACCGGATTTTGTAATGAATCGTAACACTGTAAAATTAAATTAAACCAGAGTCCAATGAAGCCCCCTAAATAGGAAGAGGACCATTTTGCAAGACCGAAAGACCTTAAGATCATTGTGCAAGGCATGTCCCACGAGAATCCTTCCCTTGATCAATTCTGCTACTTTCTTCTGCACAACCCGGAAATCTTTAGCTGACAACATGGAAAGGTGAAACAAGAAATATCGAAGTCAATTCACAAGATGATAAGCTATGAAAGAAGTACATCATGAAAAACCATCAAGTACATCAGTAAATCAGCCTGAAAAGGAAGAAGTTTTGAAAGAAAAATCCAACCTTTTCTCAAATCTCGAGGTCGAATCCCGCTAATATGCGTACGGAAGTCAACAACACGTTCCACTGGTCGGACAAATTCATCATACAGAACATTTCCCCATTTGTTTACCTACCGATAACATAGAAGAGATATAAAGATCAAGGACAGCCATGGTCAAAGGACATATCTCTTTGTCCAAGGGACCAGAACCAGCTTAAAGTATCTCGAAAGATGAATGACGGCCAAAAGATGAAACCGAAACGCAAAATTCGTCATCAAGATCCTAAAAAACTAAACCAATTTTTATTGAAAAAATAAAACCAGATAAAAAAAAAGGATCAAAATTGACAAACTGATTCATACCAAGGTAACTCGTCCGAGAGCACTTTTGTTTCCTTGACTGATACCAACCATTTCGCAGTCCATAGCCACTGCATCTGTCAAACTGCCGGAAGGTTGATAAACTCAATTTACATAATGCTCGGAGCAACAGCGAAAAGATCAAACCTTTCTATTCCCCTAGAGACTCATTGATCAGCATTACCAGGTTTTTACACTAGGGATAATGATTTTTTTTTAAGTTCTTATGTAATCATCAAAAGCAAAATATCCATTGTTTCGGAATTCGAACATGATTCATTATCAAACAAAGGATTAAAGCCCGGAACTTGAACATGTAGGAGCAATCTTCCATCCATGTGAAAGCTCATGATGACTCAAAACCATGTTTAAGCAACAAGAATCTAACTCATACTCTAACAATCAACAGTTATAAACAGAAAAAAAAAACCGCTATTTATGAAAAAGAAAATTAACATGTAAACCAAAGGAGATTAACATGCAAATTGCAAGAAAACAAAACACATTGACCTGCAGTGTCCGAGAACTCAAAGAACAGAACAGCACTAACCTGAAATCGTCATTAACTGGAATTAGTGGATTAACCTTCGGAACATCGGACTCAGAATCGGGTCTCTCCTTACGTTTCCCTGGAAAATCCATTTGAAAATTAAGACCGATAGAAAAAAAAACAAATCTCAACTTCAACGAGCTAACGAAGAGGAAGAGCCAAAAGCTCGAATTTTTCACTGGAAGATCACCTAATAAGGAACTGGGTTTTCCTGGGATTTCACCATTCGAGGGTTTTTTTCGAGCTTCCTTGCCATATACATCGGATTTTAACTTCTGAAGAAACAACAGAAGCTAACAAAGTCAATGGCGGAACAGAATCCCTAGCTGGAAGGAAAGAAGAAACAAGAGATAGGATTGACTAACTTGTTGAAGCAGAGCCCAGTTAGGGTTTAGCTGCAAGGGTTTAGGGTTTATCTTCTGCTTCTCCTTCCTCTTCTGACCAGAAATCATCTTCTTCGTCAGTTCGCGCCGGACGTACGGACAAGCCCCGACAGAGAGAAAAAAACTCAGACTCGAAGCCGCTCAGAAACGATTTAGACCTAAACGCATCTAAAACGACGCCGTTTTCTCTGTCCCGTTTGTACATTTTTTGTTCATAATGAATATGTCGAATTAATTATATTCAACTCAATATTCTAATTTTATTAATTACATCATTTGTTCATAATGTATATGTCGAATTAATTAAATTATTATAATTTGATTTGATTCGAAATAAAAATAACCAGACAGACTATTAAAAAAAGGGTAATGCGATTAAATTAAGAAAATGGGTAGATCATCATAGGTAGTGTTATAAACAATTGATATCTTATAATGAAAAATAGATATATAAACAACCATCACATCTCTTTATACTTAATTTGAATAAATCTACATAAAATATGCATATTATTCTTCTACATTTTATAAATCTCAACTTACTCCGAATTTGTTTCATGTACCTTACCTTTATAAAAATATGATGATGATGATCATGATCATGATCATGATGATGATCCTTTGCATCATTGACGGATTAATTTATCATTTAAAGTTCCTAATCATACTATTATACATATAGTTAGGATCGGACGAATCGGTTTTTTTCAATATTATTGCTTATGAAGCCCAAAATTGCCTAGTTTCCATTTTCTTGCTTAATAAAGCTTAATCATTCTCATAAAAATTTAATTATATATTAATTTTTTCCACTCCTATATATGGATTAACTTTGTATAGTCAAGATCGATTAAAAAAAATCAGCATTCTATATAAATACAGATAGAATTCATTTTCCATTAGTTTGATCACAAGTTAAATACCAATTTATAAAAATAGAATCCGAATAAGATGAATATTTATATCTATAATAAACTAATATATAAATTATAATATATAAAAAAAATTCAAGATTGGATGATTTAACCAAGATGAGGTAAAAATATTTTTTTATTTTAGATTCGAAATTCTATTTAAGAAGATATTCACCCATATTCTTCCGATTTTGTGGTATATATAGTTGAATTGAAAATATGTTAAATTTTTGTATTATAAAAAAATTAGAGAATTAATAAATACGAAATTAATTTAAATCAAATTATGTTATGTCCATACGAGATAAAAGACTTTATTTATTATTTAATTGTTTTCATAATCATATGATATTATATTTTAATTTCGGGTTTGACAAAAGTTAGTATTAGATAGGGTCGGTTCATTTTTAATTTGCTATAATATTTTTCTTTTAGTTAACCGGAAATTTTTAAATAATTTATTGGGCATAATTAGGTAACATGCAGGTTCAGCCATACAAAGCACATGGGGACATATCTATATCGATATATATGATTCGGTTATTAGTAGTTATTGGCAAAATTACCCTTAATTTTGGTATCCATCCCAATTCTAATGTTGTGTATATAAAAATCTAATATCAATCTTTTGCGATGAGATAGAGATTGGATTTTAAAATATCTAAAATCCGAAATTTAAGTTTGGATTCATATTTTTAGATCGAATAATTATTGTTATCTCAATAATACAAAATAACTATTATATATTTAAATTATTAGAAAATTATAAATATATCTATTAATTATCTAGTTAATTTTATATTTATCTATATAAAAGCTATCATTTTATGATGTAGTTATTCTAAATATAAATATTTTTAATTTATGCGTTTATAATTTTTTTTATTAAAATATAGTGAAAATCCGTCGGATTCAAGTACGGATATTCCAAAATTATCTCGCGGGTTAAGTAATTTGAGTAAATTCGACTTTGGATTTTAAAATATGTAATCCATCGGATTTGAATTCGAGTTCGGATATCCTAATAATAAAATTAAACAGGCGTATTCAATGGTTGACAATGCTTTTAAAAGATAAATTATATAATTAAAGTTGATAATTAATTAATTAATTAATTAATTAATTAAATAAGGATTTCTGTAGTGATTAGAGTGATATGAAAATTATAGCATAAGAGCTGTGATTAAATTAAAATGAGAGGGCATAAAGAATCTCAGGGGATCAATGAGGTACGCGGAAAATAAGATCCCACCGAGAATACGGTGTCGTTTTGGCTCTATAATTAGGGGATTTATTTATTTTTTTTATGAAGAAAAATCCAAAATAGGGAAAAAAAAAATAAATCGAGAAAAAGATGAGGAAAAAAAACGAATAAAAAAGAAAGTGGGGAAAAGAGGAAAACAAAACCTCCCATCACCTTCTTCTTCATCCCCTCTCTCATCCCTTTCTCTGGTTCTTGGATCTCTCTTCTTGATTAAGCCTCGATAATCAGGTGATTTATCCCTTTTAATCATCGCAGTAATCGGATTCTCCAGCTTTCAGTTCCCACTGTCCTGGTCCCTTTTTTCCTCGAATTTCTTCGTTTTTGTTGGTTTTTTTCCGGTGATTTTGAACTTTTCTTTTGTGGGTAACTGAAGAATTGCATTGTTATGGGATTCTCAGGATTTGGGTTCAATCTCTCTCGATCTTCTAGATTGTTAAAAGTTTATTAATTGTTTTCAGTTTTGTTTTTTTCTTTTGCTGCAGGGAGTTTTCGGAATACAAGCCTCTATCCGTCTCGCAATCGCTGAAATTTGGGAGCTTTCCAATCTTAATGTTAGTATTTTCAGAAATTTATTTGCATTGCTATTGCATATTGCCTCCTGAGAATAGGGTTTTCCCTCTGATTTTGGTTTGACGTAATTTTCCCTTTTCTCTTTGGCTACAGAAGAGATGGGTTTTCTAGATAACACTGTTTGGCTTCTGAGAAAATTCTTGGTCTGGGAAAAAGTATAAAGAAATCGGAAGAATTTTTTTTTATTTGTTTTTAGGTTGCAGAATTGAGGACTCCTGGGTTTTTTTGGTTTCCCTTTGATTTTTTATGCTAGAAAGTTGAGTTCCTCTCTGAAAAGTTCCAGGCTTTACCATTCTTCCGTGAGCTTGTATGACCAATGTGTATTCCATGGATACGGTTTTATCGGATTTCGTAATGTAGGATCATGTCTAAAATGCTCTGGGAACGTATTTTTCCGAATTAGGAGATGACATATCGGGTCTGCTTTTTGATGAATCTTCTGTTTTCATGTGATTGTGCTGGCCAACAAGCATTCAAGGGTCAGAGTTCCATTCATGTTAGTTATCATTAGTTTCAGTATCGGGCCGAGATGTAATTCAGGTCATTAGTGGCGTGCCCTCCCCACCGGTTATCCGAATTTGGCAAGAAGGAAAAATTACTGTTGAATGTTGGATGGTTCTTCAATAAACAACTGTATCTGTCTAGTGTAAAGAAGCTCTCTTTTCTACTCTTTTTGGTTTCTGAAACGTGTTATGTGTGATTTGATTAGTTGTTAGCTCTGGAAATTGAAATTTTTTCCAAAAATGGAGCAGATAGATGTGTAGGTCTGTCTTCGACGAGTATTCCTTTTGGTGTGTGTGCCTTCACCTGTTCATGGACAGGTGGAGGAAACAGTACCCATTGGTGTGGTCATTAGTTTTAAGATCAGGTCTGGTTGTAATCTTAATTGGCTTACTAGTTATTTCTTTTGTCCGTATATTTGTTGCGTCATGGTACTCGTTGTTGATGTTTTCTGGTCAACTATCAGGGTTTATCTACCACCGCAAGCAGTATGGGACAAAGAAATATAATGGTTGATTTAGAAATGCAACAGCAGTCTCAAGGCTATGTGCAACCAGAGCCTTGCATCTTTTTAGGCAGCTTTCCTCAACCTGATATCCCTGGTGTGATCCCGGCTGCTGGAAATATTCCAAATCTAGAAGCTCATCCTCAGCCAGAGCCCTACGACGGCACGATGTTCTATGGGATTCCTCAACACAGTGCACTGAATTTTTATCCCCCTTATGTGGCTTTCCATGCACCACCAAATCATTTGCCATCTTCTAGCAGTCATGGCATGGTTGGAGTAACTTCCGATGAATACGAGAGGAATGCCCACTTTACGGATCACACAAGCGGGCCGTATAAAAGGAAGAATGCGGAAGGAACACCTGGGAATTCTCAGTATTTAAATAGCGTACCAGCTCCTTTAAGTACAACCGAGACAGTGCCTTTCTCTTTGCCTCAGTTTTGGTGGAATGGTAGGAGTAGAACAGGAGCTGCTACCATGGATCCTGTTCTCTCTCGTGGTCAGAACAGCTTTATTCAAGGAAACTATGCAGGTCAGCCTTTCCCACTGCCAGGGTCTGTCTGGTTCGACCAGCATCAGATGAGTAATGGTAGATCTGATGGATCGCCTTTGCCTTGGTCCCAGGCTCCTTCTGTGCCTTATATGCCTGGTACCATCGCTTATCCTCTCAGATTTTAGCCTGACTCTCTTTAGATTCTTGTGACTTTCAAGTTTCAAATCTAATGTCTTCACTTTAAATGATCTTTTCAGGCTCTGGTTCAAGAGAGTCTGGTAGCAGAAACCCTGCAGCATTCATTTATCCTTCTCCACTAAATCCTAGGCATCACTATTTTAATCATCACCCATCGTTGTGGTCTCCTATTCAAGGAGTGAGAGGCCATAATGCCACAGTGTACCCTCCCATGGCTATGGCTGCATACAGAGTTCATACAGAGATGGGTTCAACTCATGTGAGACCTGTTCAACCAGCTGGGCTTAGGACTGAAGCACCTCTCAGTCTCAGACAACGTGGATTCCCTCACCTCAGAGTCATGCCGGCTGATGTAATGTTTTTGGGCATTTTGGTTCATCTGCAGTGTTGTTGTTTCCAGGATTGTGCTTTCACCAATCTTTTGTTATGTTTATGTGTAGGAAGTTGCGCTGTTGGAGGTAGGAGATTTCTACGATGCTGGAAATTACATCGATCATCATAGAGACATGCGCTTGGACATAGAGGACATGTCTTATGAGGTGAATTCATGATATTTCTTAACCATATCCATAGATATATAACCGTGCATGTATCTATGATAAGCATATACTTGATTCTCTGCTTGTGTAGAGATAGTTAATAGTAAAATGGGTGACAGGAGCTTCTGGCGTTGAGTGAGCGTATTGGAACAGTGAAAACTGGTTTGTCAGAGGAAAAAATTCACAAAGATCTGAAGACAAGGACCTATGTATCGGCTCAAATCAAACTGGAGGAGGCTACACCTACAGATTCTTGCACAATATGCCAGGTGACAGAATCTGAAGAGAAGAACCTATTCATATTCACTCTCCAAACATAACTTAGAGCTAAAAAGTCTCTTGCTTTTTAATTGGGCAATGACAGGAAGGCTACATGAACCAAGAGAAGATCGGGACCCTTGATTGCGGGCACGAGTACCATGCAGACTGCTTGAAGAAGTGGCTGTTTGTGAAGAACGTTTGCCCCATCTGCAAATCCGAAGCCATTGCCATGTAAAAGGATGAGGTATAGGAAGTGGTACAATGGATGGTTTATCTATTAGTTCACATATATATAAGAAAGAACCGAAAGAAAGAGAACGAAGTCGGGTATTTCTGCTGCCACTTAAATCTGTAAATTTGTGATTTGTGTAAAAAACATTTGTTTTCTTGACTCGGTGTCTAGGAAAGAATTGTACAGAGTCTTTGGTTCTTTGTACATTTTTGGTTGCTCTGTTGCTGTTAGTGACCTCTTTCTTTTGATGTTTCTTCTATGCCCTCTTCTTCTTCTTCCTTCTTGTTCCATTCTTTGAAATAGTTTCCAGATCCACATCATCATTAGCAACTTAGCATCGTGTTGGGCATTGTTCCAGATTTAGGATGTGGTCGGAATGCAGAAGAGGCCCGAATGTTGAACCCAAATGTCTTCGTAGGTAAACATTTGACCAGATTCATCCGCTATAAAAGAAGAGTTGGGGAAACTATTGCAGGAACTGAATATATTTATATATAGAATCCAGAGTTTTCGAGGAACTTGACACCAAAAACAGGGGAGAACAAAAAAGAACAACAGAAGGGAGAATCTATTTAGTAGAAGAAGAACAATCGAAAAGATGAGTTGTCCTCCTACTCCAGAGTATGGATCAATCTTTAGGGGGGAAGAGAAAAACCCTAAGAGTCCAAGAAACAGAAAGATATTACCAGAGAAAATGACAGACGACCCAGCTGTAGAAACATAGATTCCAAAGGTTCAGACATCAACTTGAGCAGCAACCGACCTTCTTGATGGCAGAGACATCGTCCTTGGACCCGACATTGATGGTCTGTCCCTTGGGAAGAGCAGCCGGGTCATCTCCTATGTCCAGCGCTTTCCGGCTCACCACACGGTATATTTGAGAAAGCACCTCCGTGAAAGCGTTCTCCACGTTCATTGACTCGAGGGCTGATGTCTCCATGAAGAAAGTGTTCTCTCTTTCTGCAAATGCCTTTGCGTCCTCGGTGGAGACGGCTCGTAGATGGCGGAGATCTGCCTTGTTACCGACGAGCATGATCACGATGTTCGAGTCCGTGTGATCTCTAAGCTCCTTCAACCATCTCTCCACGTTCTCAAACGTTACATGCCTTGTGACATCATACACAAGCAAAGCTCCCACTGCTCCTCTGTAGTATGCGCTTGTGATCGCTCGGTATCTTCAAATTCAACGCAAATGGTGACAAGATTGAAACAGGAAGAGATCGTTGCATTAAGCTTAAAATGCCAAATTGAAGATCCAGAATTTGATTCTTTACAGAGAAAAAGATCAGCAAGTTCATATATTGAGCTGGTTTTTGATACACATCGACCTCGATTCACCAGAAAACTCAAATCCAAAGAAAAAAATTGTTTACCCCTCAAACCTAATTCGGAAACGTCTCGTACTATGAAGCAAAAGTTAAAAAAACGGAAACTTTGGGAAAAAGGCAAACAGCAAATGACGAAATCTCGATTTGGGTCCTACAATTCCTCCATGACCATTGCAATCGAAAACTAAAAAGCCAAAATCCGGACACGAACATAGGAAAAACGCGAAACCGAGAAGAGATCTTTCAAATGGTATACCTCTCCTGACCAGCGGTGTCCCAAATCTGGGCCTTGACGATCTTATCATCGACACGGATGCTTCGGGTGGCGAATTCGACTCCAATGGTGGATTTGGATTCGAGGCTGAACTCGTTGCGCGTGAATCGAGAGAGTAAATTAGATTTTCCAACGCCGGAATCTCCTATCAAAACAACCTTGAAGAGGTAATCGTAATCATCATCTGCTCTATACGCCGCCATTGTCAGGTTCTCTCCGATCAGAAGCTCTCGTTCGGGAAAATAATGAATCGGAGATTCAGGAAATCGGTGGCATGAACGTACGGACGAACGGTAGAGAGAACAAACGAGAGAGAGAGAGAGAGAGAGAGAGAGATTCAAAATTTTGTGGGGAGATGATGCTAATGGATGAAAATCGCGGAGGTCGGGTCGGGTTGCGTGAGATTGGGGTTTAGCATTTTTGCTGCCAACGGAAAAATGATGGAAACTGACAGAAAATTACGGGTTGAGATTGGGGCCTGATTGAAAAAACAAAATGTGAGGGGCTAAATTTTAAATTATTGAAACTTGTAGGGTAGTGGACCGGATCTGATTTTGGGCCCACCACACATTGCCCTCACAAACAACCTCTTTATTTTGCCCATATCCCCTATTTGTCAATTATTGGCCCTAGTCGGACATTTCTGATCGAACCATTAAAACTCTCCGATAAATTGTTTTGGACTGCATTGCAACGCGACTCAGGATTAAAAAATGCCCGACACTACCTCCTAGGATTAGCCCGCATAAATGCTTCATACGCCAATGGATTGTACCTTCTAATGTCAATGGCGTATCCTTCGAACTCACGTACGAGGTAGCATTTTGCAGCCTTCCATAACAGCAGTTTCAACTCAAGATCCTTGAATTTCTTTTTGAAATTAGCATTTTACGAGATATTTCGAAGAGTAAATAATATGTACTTTTAGAAAAGAATCATATATCAATTACCTTTTGCTTGTCGAACATTATAGTCAGCCCCCTTTCATCATCTAATCCCAAATCTAATCGTAATTTCTTGACAAACCTGGTCCATGTATCTGTATCTTCGATACGTACAACTGCCCAAGCAATAGGAAACATGTTGTCATTGCCATCCCTTCCAACAGCAGCTAGTAGTTCACCCTTCATCTCCCATTTCAAAAAACAGCCATCCAAACCAATAATGGGACGACAGTGTGCTTTCCACGACTCTCGCAGCACTCCGAAACTCACATAGAAACGGTCGAATACTCCCTGACGCTTCAACACTTAGCTAATCCGATTTCCGTTGTGGTATTTGGATTTGACCTATTCAGCTCTAACTCATAGTTCCATAACTTCTTAAACTGGATTTGAGGATCTTCCATCACCATTTTCAATGCAATACGTCTTGCCTTAAAACATTTGCTAAGAGTGACCGTCAAACCATACGATCTTTGAATGTCAATCTGCATTTTTTCAGCTGTGAAGGCCAACTCTGTTCTAATTCTGTCTGCATACAACCTTGCAATTTGACGCATTGTCCAACACATAGTCAAACAAAGCTTTCTTAAACTCGTCCCCTGAGTTGAAAGTTCTCCCAAGATATAAAAAATCATTTGAGGGAAAAGTTGAAGCTTGTCTTCTTGGTGGATTATCAAAGTTCTCCCATTCTTCATCTGTGTTTTCCGGGGTTGGTGGGATATTCCCATCACTATCTATATACTCGTCAGACGAGCTATCACCATTATCCTCCTTCCACTCATCTCTATCATCATCACCAACCGGACCACAGGGGACTTCTTCAACAAAATCATCACCATCAAAATCAAAATCATCAAACTCTCCAATATCATTATCACTATACCAACATTCATCTGACAATGAATCATTAATCTCACTACCCTCAGCAGCTGAATTTTCTCAAGTAAGTCGGGGACGAGGTTCTACATTTGGCTCTATCTCTTGGTGGTCGATAAAAACATCCAAACTACCATATCTTCTTGCCATTTCACACATTTCACATATTTCACTGTCCACAATCTCTTTCCTAACCCTTATTTTGTTTTCTAGAGGCTCTCTTGCCAACTTATACCACATTTCTCTTATTGGAGAACCTATCTTACGAGATTTGACAAATTCTTCAAAAGTGAACCAGCACAGAGTATCCGAATCAAACCAAATACATCTCTCAACTAACCCACCTAGGTAATAACTTTTGCTATTCACTTCTTCCATAAAACCACCCATGTAAAAGTTAATCTGAATCCAGCTGCATACAATTTCAAAACTAAATCTTAACTTTCTTCTTCTACAACAATCAAAGTATTAACTCTTACGAACAAACTAAGTGTTATAACCCAGAAAACTTACCTCATCTTGCAGAAGTTTGGAGCACCGACCCTAGAGCTAGAGAAACACGAATACTGTAACCCATCGAGACAAGTATCGACCCAGGAGAAGGAGCGAACCACCGAAGAACGACGAACACCCTGAACCATCGAGAGCAGTAGACCAAGTGGAGCACCACAAACCACAGAAGCAGCGAAACTGGAGCAGGAGCAATGCCGAAACTAGAGCAAGAGCGAAACTGGAGCACAACCGAATCTGGAGCACAGCCGAAAATGGAGCCTGGACCACGAGCAAACCACCGAGAGAATGACACTTTCGCAGGAACCACCAAGACGACTATCACCCATGCCGGAGCTACGCTGGAGCCATGCCGGAGCTACGCCGGAGCTCGTTCGTCTCACCGGAGCTCGTCTCTGACAGCGATCTTCTCACGCGAGGAGAGGAAAGAAGAGGAGACAGAGGAGTGGAGAGGAGACAAAGGAAATGCACATTCTGATTTAGGGTTTCGAACGAAACCCTAAGTCCCAAATTTCGATTTAAAAAAATTTCGGTTTACAGTAAACCGGATCGGTTAAATTAACCGATTTAATTAATCGGAATTGCTGACAGTACTAATTACGTGTCACCTGACGTGACATTTTTACAGATGTGTCAGGCCACATAAACAATGGGATGCTGATGTGGCACGATCAAATCCCTTCCATGTGTTGATTGGAAATTTAAGGAATAATCGGTGGTGGAAAACGGGAAATTTTAAAATCGGGTGGGAGATTTTGTCAAATCAAAAATTGATGTACTAATTTTACACATTTGTTATAATCTGTGTGGGTTTTTGTCATTTTCCTTTTTTTTTTAATTATAACAACCTGCATTTTCATAACCAAAGATATATATATATATACATACACACATCATCATCATACAATTCAATTCACTTACTATTATTGTTTTCAATTTACATCTTATAATGAATTGAAATACAAGCATTTAAATTCATTTAGATAAATGGGAAATTATTTTTATTACTAACAAGAATAAACTGTTTTTAGTGTCGCCAAATTTCTCTCTTTTCATCTTCTTTCCCCTTCTCCATCTTCCCCTCGCTTTCTCGCGTCCTCTGTTTATATCAAATCTCTACAACTTATATACACATCTATATACGTGTGTATATATATATGCTCATCCACAATCCTACGTTATCTCCATGAAACTTGCCCAATAATTCCATTACCAACCATGATATCCAGATCACTCCTCTTCCTCCTCGTCCTCTGCTCCTCCGCCGCGTACGGCCGCTTCATCACCGCACGTCCGTCGTCTACGGGTCTAGTCTACGATGGAGGTTCAATCATCGAGACGGTGGTCTCGGCTCCGGCGGAGGAGGAAGCTTGTGAGCAGACGTACGGGTTCATGCCCTGTACTAAGACAGCTCTCGGTAACGTGTTCCTCATCATCGTCTACGGGTTCTTGATGTTCACTGCCGCGAAGTACCTCTCCAATGGCAGTGAGCTTCTCCTTGAGATCCTTGGCCCTGGAATCGTTGGTGGGTTGTTTCTCCCAATCCTCGGGGCGCTTCCCGATGCTATGCTCATTCTGGGTATGTGAAAAAGTTTGGATTTTTGTTCTGAAACCTGAATTTGATACTGAGATATCATGTTTTGATTCTTGAATCTTCGATCTGCGTGTTGGATGAGCTCTGGGCTACAGAATCGAAGTTTACTGAACGAGAAAATGATTGTTTTGGAGTAAAGGCTGTGAATTTAGTGGAGAATCTGTTTGCTCTTGGATCTGACAATGGATTTATGGAATTTCTAGTGAACTTGCTAGCAAAGTTGAAAATTGGTTGGTGGAAAACAAACGAACGTTGTCGGATCTTGATGAGAGGGGGCATGATTTTGAAAGACTGAATCTTTTATTCCTATTGTCTAGGAATTTTGTTCGGCACAGTGAATCAATCCTGAGGAGTGATGCTGATACAAGTAGCAGTGAAGACCACATGAATCTTTCATTCACCTGTCATTGTTTCATCTTTGTTTGTCTTGTCCTTTGTCTTACTGAAGTAGTGTGTTCCTCTTCCTTTCTGTACCTTATCCTTAATCCATGTATGTCTGTATTTGGATCTGACACATTTGGTTTGATTCTTGTGAATGATCAGTTTCGGGACTTTCTGGAACCCCGGAAACCGCCCAGAGTCAGGTCTCGGTCGGGATGGGTTTGCTCGCTGGTTCAACAGTTATGCTCCTCACTGTCATATGGGGAACTTGCACTGTGGTTGGCAAGTGTGACCTTCGGGATTCGATCGCTGTAAACGGTCAGGACACAAAGGGCTTCCACTTAACAGGTAACAACAGTTCTTACTTTGCTGTCTTTTGTCTGATCAATTGGTCATATACTTTCATGGTTCTCTGTTTGTATGGAAACCGAAGGAAAAATGCAAAAAAAGGGGGGAAGTTGATAGTTTTACGTGATGGTTTCTTACTGTATGCGCTATGTTTTTGTCCATAGGTTCTGGTGTTACAGTTGATATATGGACCAGCTATGCTGCAAGGATCATGGCTATATCAGTGATCCCGTTCATCATTGTCCAGTTCCCACAGATCATGAACTCAACCTCTGGAAGACACTTGGCCGTGTTGCTTGCTCTTATCATCTCCGTTACAATGTTGATCGCTTATTGTGTATATCAGGTAACATAAAGCTCCCCTCATGACAAAACATTTCATGATATGTCTTGACCATCCATAGACAATCTACCAACTTTGATTTGAATTTCCTTTTGAGCGTAATCCAGGTCTTCCAACCATGGATCCAAAGGAGGAGACTTGCTTTTGTGAAGCACAAGCACGTAATATCGGGAATTCTAAGACATTTGAAACGACATGCTTTGGGAAGGCTTCTCAATGACAATGGTGAACCCAATGATCATGTCATTCGAAAGTGAGTCTTCTTGTTCTTTACATGGAGAACGACTTATTTGGGCGCTATCTTCTGCTTCATCATGTCCCCACTTCCGTCTCTGTAGGTTGTTTGATACAATCGATGAGAACAAAGACGGATTCCTGTCAGCTCCTGAACTAAAAGCACTCATCATAGGGATTCGTTTCGAGGAAATAGATCTCGACAAGGACGATGCTGTGGGAAAAGTCCTCCAAGATTTCGACAAGTCTCTGGATGAGCGTGTTGACCAGGATGAGTTTGTCCATGGTATCAAACGCTGGCTCATCGAAGCAATGAGAGAAGGCGGTCCAGCCGGTCGTGATGCCGGTCCTCGAACAATGAAGTTTATTGATAATTATCACCAGGTGTATATATACACACACACAATGTGATGGCTAAACACTGATGGATGAATTATCTCTAAGGTAATGCATAATCTCGTCTATCTTTGCAGCAAACAATGAGAGAGCACGCTCTGTTGAATGCAGAGGAGAACGAGGAGAATGACGAGGAGGATGTTGTTCATGTTGCAGACCCGAAATCAGTCACCATTAAAGCAGTTCTGATGCTGCTTTTGGGGACTGCCATTGCCGCTGCTTTCGCTGATCCACTTGTTGATACTGTTCAAAACTTCTCCGTAGCAACAAAGATCCCGTCTTTCTTCATCTCGTTCATTGCCTTGCCTTTGGCCACCAATTCGAGTGAAGCCGTGTCTGCAATCATCTTCTCCTCCCGCAAGAAGATCAGAACCGCCTCATTAACATTCTCTGAGGTCTGTGTCATGAATTCTCCAACCAATATTTCTTCGTCATCTACTTCGTCTACTTCTTAAACTTTCTGGTATTGTTTCTCTTGAGCAGCTCTGTGGTGGCGTGACGATGAACAACATACTCTGCCTCTCGGTTTTCTTAGCTCTGGTTTATGCCCGAGAGCTGACATGGAACTTCTCATCTGAGGTGCTGGTAATTCTCATCGTTTGCCTTGTGATGGGCGGCTTTGCTAGCTTCCGCACAACCTACCCTCTCTGGACATGCTTCATAGCTTACCTGCTCTATCCTTTCTCCCTGGGTCTGGTCTACATTCTCGACTTCTGGTTCAGCTGGTCATAGATCATTCAGGTACGTTTTTGTAATGGGTTTATGTCGGACAAAGTTGAGAGGTTGTCGAAACTATAAGAATCGAGATTTGTTTGTGGAATGAATGATATGCTCTTTCCTGTTTTGTTATTTCTTCCGAATGTACATTCTCATGAAAAGAAAACTAACCAAAAGCTAAGAAACAGAATGGAACTGGCTTCGGTGTTGGAGTTACTGTGTCTTGTCACCTTCCACTTGGCTCACTCGGTCTCAACCTCAGCTCAAGATCCAAACTTTCTTCACTTCCATTAGAGTGGCTCGTTCGTGATTGCCTTTGCTGTGTAGCTGGTGGAAAGAAGTTGTGGTAACGGCATACGGGCTGCTGACTCTGTCTGTTGGATCCCTGTACAAAGGTTTGCTCTCTTGCTTCTCTATTTGCTGCCATCTATTTAACAAAAAAAAACGATAGAAATCTCTCCTTTATCATCGTACAACATGTTTCTATGAGGAGGATACTGGAGATTTTCTTTAGGCTTACCTGGTTACGCCGTGCAATAAACCGTCCCAATTTCGTAGGCTGGATTGAGGCTGCTGGTTTTGGATGTCCGAAACTTGAGATTGTGGATGATGTTCTTACTGCAGGAGGAGGAGGAGGAAGAGGAGGAAGAGGAGGAGGAGATGATAACGAGAGAAAATCCCTAGCAACAGTCTCATTAGACCCCTCGTTCTTTCTGTTTACATTCGATTCTGAAGCTGAAGTTGAGCTCGAAACACCGTCTCTGCAACAGAGAAGTTAAAGCTTATGACTTCATAGCAAAAACCGAACTTGTGTATTTCAGCCACATTGTCCAAACCAAACAAAACCAAACCACTGTCTGGACCTGACCTGTGCATCCGTTTTGCCTCTTTGGAATCTGATATGACTGAGTCGAAGAATGGATATGGCCTCTTCTTACCAGCTTTCTGACACATTTCAAAACAAGCCGAGGATCAGGCATATGATGAAACAATCAACAAAACTGCACGTGGAGAAAGGAAAGATACCTGATCTGGTGACTTGGTTTGAAGGGGGCTCCTTGGAGTAGGATCCTTGGAGGAGGATCCCATCAGAGATGATGGTGATGATGATGGTGGTGAACAACTCACCAATGGGAAACCCACCTGCCAAATGAAGAAACAACCATTGAGGCTAACACTAGATAAAAGCAGAATCTCAGTGAAACTGCAGAGTCGTCCTCTCTTACCACTGGAAAGGGCAGTTGGTAATACAATCCACCCGAAAACAAAGGGTAGTTCATGCTCGGATCAGACAAGAACCCACTCCATGGTCTTGGATCGTTAACGTTTTCTCCTACCGTTGGCAGAGAGTATCCCTCCTCTTCTTCGGGGTTACCAATGGGAATGTAATTCAATGGCAAGTTTCTTGATTGACCGACCCCACCATTGAGATCACTGCAAGTAGTCTTCTCAGAGTCGCCTTCTTGTGCCACACCTCTTAATAAATCCATCTTGTAAGAGAACTCCAACGATCACTGTTCCAATTCCAGTCCCTGTAACAACTCTGAATCTATGCAAGATTTTCAGAAAATGGGTCGTGATGATTTTGGCGCTAGTGAGAGGAAAAACATGTACCCAGATGGGAAAATGAAAGAAAGTTGGGAGCTTTTGTTCTAAACGGTGGAGAAAATCTCAGAACTGTGAATGAACTTTCCTTGAGGTGACGAGGAGAAGAAGAGATACCCGGTCCCAGACGGGGGGGGGGGGGGATGTGAGACA